ACGTCCGTTAATTGGTCGAACACCAATGGTTTGGCCACATATGAGCAGCATTGATATCCCGAGAGGACCATAGGAATCAGCCGTTCACATTGGAATGAACGAATGAATTGCTGCATCGGTCTTTCTCTTGATATGAACTCTCTCAAATCTATTGTAAAGATTCGAGGAGAATTACTCATTGATTGTGAGGTTTGAATTGGAACCCCCAGTCCATGATTGGACATGACTGGCTCTTGGTAAACATGGATCTGGTTGAGATGACTTGAATCCATGAACTTCTTATATCTGCCCCTCAATCTAGTCGCGCTACGCAGAGTCGCGTTTGGAACTTGGGACGCGAGGGTCGCGTTTGGCACCTGAGACGCGAGGGTCGTGTTTGGCACCTGAGACGCGAAGGTCGCGTTTGGCACTTGAAACGCGAGGGTCGCGTCTGGCACTTGAAACGCGAAGGTCGCATTTTGGTTTGGCGACATGAGGGTCGCGTTCTTCATTGTCGACGCGAGGGTCGTGTTTTAACTTGGAAATGCGAAGTTGAAGTTCGCGTTCAACGAAGGCTTGAGGTTCGCGTTTTGGCTGTAAAACGCGCCATTGAGGGCCGCGTTCAGTCTGGTTCTCGCGAAGCTCCTGTTCGGGCTCATAGACGCGGAGCTCAGGGTCGCGTTTAGGCTCACGAACACGAAGCTTGCGTTGGTTGGAGGATCGATTTTCTTGAAGTTGTGCCCATCGCTGAGACCCTCTTCTTCGATGAGCAGCGTTCTTCTTGGCCTGTTTTAAGGCTTTTGCAAGGGCATCATCGGCGTTGATTGGATCTATCTCCGTCTTAAGCCTTTTACCACCCATGACACATCGTGTTGACGCGGGTGTGAAGTTTTCAACTCGTTGAGCGAGTTTGGCAGAGGCAGAGCCCAGTCCTTCAGAGGAGGGGCTGTTTGATGAATTTTTAGTCTTCTTGGAGACTTTGTGGATCTTGCGTATAGCCTTAGGGCTAAGGGATCCGGAGGAGATAGCCTCCTCAAACTTGGCTTGATCAAACTCTACCACGAGAGTTTCGACGGTTGTTCCAGTGAGATGAACATCGAATTGCGCCATCACTTCTTCGTCACAGAAGCTCATCCCCAGCAGAGTCGCCATCTTTTGTATGTTGGAAAATTGCAGTAAAGAGAAGAAAAGAAATTTGACTTTGATTCTTTTAATCTCGGTTACAATTCGATTACAAAAGAGAGGAGAACGAAATTGGTTCTTCCTCTTTGTTTAAAATTGGGTTCTTCACGGTGGCGATGGAGTGCCTCCCTCGAATGCTCGCGTCGAGTTTGCTCTCCGTTGACGATCCGACGTCTTGATTCACTGGAACGATGTCTTCTCCTCACGATTTGACGTTGTGGAGAACTTGCGTGGAATGTTTAAAACTCTTGATGAGTTGATAACTCTGATCGAGTTTGAACTCTTGAAAAAGAGTTGATTTGAACCGAGAGTTCGGTTGATAAGCCAAGGATCAAAGCTCTCTGTTGTCGAAGTTGAAGATAATCTTCATTGGAGGATGATGCCGATCCCCTCAAAAGCTCGCCCAAGGATCTCTCATGTTGCTGCCAATTCCCAGATCCAAAAAATGTCAGTCTCTCCGATCAACCCAGCCAACCCTTCCGTTCCAAAAAGCCAGCCCTTAACTCAGTTGAGTTTACTCGCTTTTATAGGGGATTAAGGGGTGTAATCGCCCCCTTAATTCTCTCCATAGTGGGGCGGAAATCGCTCAAATCGTGGAGGGAAAACGGTTCCTGCAACCGTTCAGCTCGTGTTTGAACGAGTCAAACGCCCACGTGGGCGTTCAGGATCCTAACTCCGTGTTTTAGAATTGAGACGCGGAGTTGGGTACTCGCTGGGTGTTGAAAAACGCGGGTCCGACTCCAGCGTTTTAATGTTGTAACGCGGGTCCGACTCCAGCGTTTTGGTGTTATAACACGGGTCCGACTCCAGCGTTTTAATGTTGTAACGCGGGTTCGACCCTCGTGTTTTACTGTTGACACACGGGGAGGACCTTCGCGTTTTGGTCTTAGAGCGCGGTGATGAGTTCCGCGTCTTGCTTTGGAGAGATTATCAACAAGTAATCTCTTTTGTCATAGCGTTGCAAAGATCATTGTCTTGTAATCTTCGTCTTAGCTCCTTGAGAATATGAGAGTCGTCAGATTGTAACTCCCGATGTTGATTGTGAATGCTGTTGAACTAGAGCTCTCATCGGTTATCGTGAAGGTCGTCATATTGTAACCTTCAGCGATCTACGTGAAAGTCTTCAAATTGTAGCCTTCTGGAAGTCGTCAGATTGTAACTTCCATCATCGGTGTTTGACGGAGGATAAGCTATCTATTATGATTTTTATACAGCCTACAACCTCCTTCTCTTGATAATTAATCGCCCCCTGTGAAATGAGCCCCTAGGCCTGTATTTATAGGCTTCGGTTGAGGGGTTTTTTGGATAAGAATGAGTGATTTGGCCTTATCTTCAGTTAATAACGGCCTAACCACGTTTGTAGATGATATTTAGACAGTTAAGAACCCCTGGAACAGATAAATCCCGAGAAAACCGCTCAAAACCGTCAAAAAACGCGTCTGGGGGTCAAACCTGCGCGAAACAGCCCGCCGACCCGCGGGGGGCGCGGGTCGACGCGGGTCG